TTTTTTACTTTTAAGTTTACTTTAGAATATTTTTGTTAAAGATTTATACCCTGTATTGGTTCTCGGAAGTTGGGGGAGGGAAGGTTGGGAGGGGTGGGGTTTGGGTGGGGAGGGTAGAGGGAGGGAAGTAAACCTTTGTAAAAGGTTTTTTTTAAAAAAAATTCAATTAAAAAAAACCTGCTCGGCTTCCTTTGTTAGCAATCTTTTTGGTATACTTAAGAAAAAAATAACTAACAGAGCAACGGAGCTGGAAGCAGCTTTGGAAAAGGAAACAAAAAGAGGGAGAGAAAAAGACAGCCAAAAGATGACAGAATATCAGGAGCTGAAGGGAGAACAACGAACACAGAATAACAGAGCCGGAAAGGACCTTGGAGGTCTTCTAGTCCAACCCTTTGCTCAATCAGGAGACCCTATAGAAGTGACGGCTGACCCTTTTGGTCCTGAGTGGTCAAAGCATGCCTGCGCAAGCCCAAAATGCAATGCAAGGGCCCCTGTGCATGCGTCCCCCCCACATGTCCATGCATCCCTCACACATTTGCCCTGTCCCCCTCACCCAGGTTGGTGCAGGCGGCTTTCCAGGCGCAGAACAGGGCACGCCCACCCCCCACCCCCATTTTGGCTTCCAGGTTGGCGCAGGCCGGCTCCCAGGCACAGAACAGGGTGCAGGGGGAAAGCGCGCACATGCACGAACCCCCCCAAATGAAATGCGAGCGCCCCACACCGATGCGGAGACGGCTGGCGTGCCCACTGAGAGGGCTCTGCACGCCACCTGTGGCATACGTGCCATAGGTTTGCCATCCCGGCCCGATAGCATTGGAGACAAGTGGCTGTCCAGTCTCTTCTTAAAAGCCTTTGCTTTGACTGCCAAAGTCGATGGGAAGACAGCTGGGCTAAGAATTTTAGAAGTGGTATAAATAATATTTGGACAACCAGGCGGCCTGACAGGGAAATAATATATTCCCCCTATATAAATATAGGGGAATTTTCTCCTCCTTACGCCTAGGTCCCGTCCTTGGCACGTTCCTACGCTTATGGTGAGACAGACGTGTGCAGGGAAGAATGCTGAGCGTGCCCAGAGAGATTCTACTCCGTGAGTGTGCACACAAGCATCCTACTTCATCCTGTATCATACGATACAATACAGTAGCAGAGTTGGAAGGGACCTTGGAGGTCTTCTAGTCCAACCCCCTGCCTAAACAGGAGACCCTATGCCATTACAGACAAGTGGCTATCCAACATCTTCTTAAAAACTTCCAGTGTTGGGGCATTCACAACTTCTGAAGGCAACTTTTGTTCCACTGATTCATTGTTCTAACTGTCAGGAAATTTCTCCTTAGTTCTAAGTTGCTTCTCTCCTTGATTAGTTTCCACCCATTGCTCCTTGTCCTGCCTTCAGGTGCTTTGGAGAATAGCTTGACTCCCTCGTCTTTGTGGCAACTTCTGAGATATTGGAACACTCCTATCATGTCCCCCCTAGTCCTTCTTTTCATCAAAGTAGACACACCCAGTTCCTGCAACCGTTCTTCATATG